CAACAAGTCTGTGCTATTTGGCCAGTTTATAACACTTCCATTGTGTTTATCATCCTCAATCCTCCGGGTTAGTCAAATGCAACAGCACTATGAAGACTCAACATTTGTAAATGCCCTCCAAATACCTTGGCCAAAAGCATTGCCATTGGTTCTTCTAAATCTCAGATGCACCCCCTTTGGAACTCATAAACTCTCGCTCTTTGAGATAGTTATAGGATGTTCAATGCACCTAGCTCCCATTTCTTTTTATCTGCAGCTAATGAAAGTAGATATGCTTCAATATTGTAAGGCCTAATTGCTTCTATTAAAAATAACCACGCTTCGGTAGAGCGATCTTTCACAGTGTGCTCCAGGGCGATGAAGACCTTAAGCATCACACCTTGCAACCTGGAAATTTTGTCTATTAGAAAATACACCTCTAGAAGGATTCTTTCTTCAACCTTGATGGAAAGGCCCTTACCACATTCTGTCAACCAGCCCTTGTGGCACCACACTTAAGAGAACAGATTCTTAGGTTCATGTGACATATTTAGAGAAAGCACCAAACCCTGACTGGAATTTCACACCATTTGGTGACCGGAAGGTAAAGCTTTCCCAGAGTTGAAGTGGATGACATCTGATGAGACAGCTTTCTCAAGATGTCTGGACTCAAAGGCTTAGAATTTACAGAAGTCTCTCTTTCATCTGGACTATTAACTGACTGTGGATTCTTATCCAAATCCCTGGTCCCTGAATTTTCAAAATACAGGCTATCAATGTATTATTGATAAAACTTTTGGTTCCAAACATTTCTTTTAAGATAGTAATATTGGTTTTTTTTAAATGTCTGAAGTTCTGCTATTTTTGTGAAAAGTCCATTAACTATTGTCTCCTGTTTACTCCTGCACTGGGTCCTCTGAAAGCACTCGTTTAATTCTTCCAGTTTTGAATGTGCTTTCCTGTATTCACTCTTCTAAGACATAGACTTCAGACGGGAAATGCCTGAGAGGTCTCCCCCCATCCTTGTCCCCAAAGCTGTGATTGACAAGGGGCAAGCCTATCAACCCCTAGTAATGTGAAAAAGGTACAAACCTTTGTAGGGATTTGGGGGTTTCAGAGGACTTTTATTCCCCACCTGGTGCAGTGCCTCCATCCTTTATACCACCTTTCAGCAAAGAAAGGGCATGTGTGGGACTGGGGATTAGAGCAGCAAGCCAAAAATACTTGAGAAGGCAAAAATACTAGTGAAGCAGATTAAAGCTCTGGGCATCTCCCAAGCAGGGTTACCATGAGAGTTAGATGTATCTGTGACTCTGGACGGTATGGATTGCGCACCGTGGCAGAGACAGAAGGAGACAGTACCCCTCAGATTTTGGTCCCAGCTCCGGAAGGGGGCAGAAACCCAATATACCTCCATAAAGCAAAAGCTCTAGCAGAATACATCACGCCCCTCCAAGGAGAGCCTCTAGCGAAAACCAGCATACCATGGAAATAACGTCAGTTCTTATCAAGAGGTGTGTTAAGAGTATGTTCCATCGACACCCCTCTGCCACAGCTCAAACTCCCACAGTCACTGAGTGACGTCCTATATGCAGCACAAGAGCCCCCTGTTGGCCAGCCCACTGTCTCTAGAAACACGGGTACTGCTGGATCTTGCAGAGTATGTAGAGCCTCCAAATGCCCCACCCCTCTTCCTGTGGTTGCCCTCGCAGCGTGTAGAGAGGAAGTGGGGGAAATTTCTGCTGATGCCTGCAGTTGAGCTGAATCTGGTTGGGCAGCAGGTCATTGGATTGCAGTCACTATTCAGCCCAACACTGCCACCATCTGGATGGCAAACAAACTGCAGCAGACAGTGGGCTGAACTCATGGCGATCACTCAAGACCCCCGGGTGATTGTTAACCCTTTGCATTAATAGTTGGGCTGTTTTCAAGGCATTAACCCTATGGTTTGGACAATGGGAAGCCAAGGAGTGGATGATCATGAATAAGCCCTTGCAGGGTGAAGATATGTGAAAAGACATTTGGGTTCACCTTCAGTAACCAGAGGCGATCCTCACTGTTATCCATGTCCCTGGCAATCGGGAAGCTAATGCTCTAACCCAGTAGAAGCCCTAATGGGCTCTTCAGTAGATACAGCAGATTGGGCTTATTGGACGAGCAGCCATCGTAGTGGGATGGCATATTGCCAAGGATGCTAAATTGCCCTCGAAATACGGTGACTTGGTTAATGCAGTTACAGTTGGTCCTGTGTGTTCTAAACAATGCCCCAGGCAGCTGCCAATGGAATCTGGGGCCATCCACTGGAATTCCCAACCAGTGAGGGATTGGCAAGTGAGGGTTCTAATTGTCTTGGTTTGGGTGGATACCACATCTAGCCTAACCCAAGGTTTCCCCTGTCACTGTCCACCACTAGGGGATTAGAGGAACTGAGTACAGATATCCTCATCGAATAGACAGTGACCGGGGATTACATTTTAAGGGTCATGATGTGCAAGATTGGGCCAAAGCACATGACACTGAGCAGAAGGTCCATCTCCACCCCTCCCCCATCCTCCAACCCAAAGCTGCAGGCAGTGGGATTGGCAGAAAGAGAGAACGGAATTTTAAAGCAGCAGATTAAATGACTAAGAGGAAAAACCACCCGCTAGGCAGACTAAAGTACTGCCCCAGGCTTTAATACATTTAAATAATCAACTAGGAAGGCCTGTTGCCCCATGTGCCAGACTGAGGACCCTGCTGTCCTGCTATAAGCTGGACACTCACCATTGAAAGACAGGAGAAGGTGGGGGTCCTGGTCTGGGAGGAGAAGGTAGGGGTCCTGCTCTGATCTTTCCTTCCCCCAGTCCACCTCCTCACTTCTGACAGTGCTGCTCTTTCTGCCGACATGTCTGATATGCACAACGAGGTCAAGTTCATAAAACTGCAGCCACATTAACATCTAAGGATCAGGTCATAAGTGTGAAGGGGAAGACTTCCCCTGCAAGTTCGTACTAAGGATCTGTCTTTTTGACCTTAGACTCCTGCTGCTTATGTGCTGTCCAGTCACAGGGTGGGCACCAAAGGGACCCACACATATGCCCAGCAAAGGAATCACTCCAGCTGTTGGATATGTGAAAAACTGCTCCTCGCTAGTTCATCAGGATTGCCGTGGTGGGCACCAACACTCCAGTGAGGGAATTAGAAGGCGCTAACGCAGTATATTACATTACAGAAAAACAAACCTGGATGAAAGCTCTTTTTTTTTTTCCTTTTCTAGTAGGGAGGAGGCAATTAGGTATGTATTTATTTTGATTTTTTTTAAATGGAGGTACTGGGGATTGAACCCAGGACTTCATGCATGCTAAGCATGCACTCTACCACTGAGCTATACCCTCCCCCTTAGATTAGTGCCTTTAATTCATCTGATATTACCAATACTGATCCAAAAACCAGGCACACACTATCAGTAACACTGAGCAGGGGATATTCTTTTTCTGTTAGTCATCCCCGACAGCCCAGCAAACTGCTGACCAATAAAAGTACCACCATCAGAGACACAGGTGGTTATGCTTAGATCCGAGATGGGTACATGTGGTTTACCTCAGGTTAGGGATATTTGAGTACCTGGGCACCTCTATTTTGGGAACAGAAGAAACATTCTCAACAGAACCAACTCAGTTGGAATATGAGGAATATGAGAAGTACATCATTGGAAACAGTGCCAGCATTCTGTCCTATGAAGGATAGCGACTGGTTTGGCACTGCCTGGTCATGCCGCCCAGGTATTTATCGGGTAATCCTTAATGAGATCCAATGGATGTGGGGCAAAAATATTTGGCTGTGGCTTCCACCTGGATGGTGGGGCTGCTGCATCCTGGGTGCAGAGAGAATCCACCCCACAGTCACAAAAGTTGTGAACCTCCCTCTCCTCCAGTCCAGATGGGCACATTCTGTTTTCCACTGGTACAATCATTTGACCACTGTCTTTGTCCCTTTTATTGGCCTGGAGTACTCAAGGAAGCCCTTACTCAATTCACCCAGCAAGTCTTAAGTGATAGTTGACAAAGTCTGTGCTTCCTGAACAGTGACATGTCTGGAATGAGAAAAGCTGTCCTTCAAAATAGGATGACCTTGGACATCATTACTGCCTTGCAAGGAGGCACCTGTGTCATTATTCAAGTAGAATGTTGTGTGTTCATGCCTGATGCGTCTGCTAACGTATTATCTTTATTAAAGCACATGAGGACACAAGTGAAGGCCTTGAGTGACTCCCAGCCTCAGGGACTTAATAAATCAGTATTCAAATCATGAGGCTCTTGGTGGGAAAAAAATTGTTACTTATTTTGAGAATTGTTATCTTAATCCATGTTTCTTCTTTTTTGGGAGGGGCAGGTAATTAGGTTTATTTATTTATTTATTTAAATGGACGACTGGGGATTGAACCTAGAACCTCTTGAATGCCCAGCACACACTCTACCATTGAGCTATACCCTCCCACCCCAATCCCTGCTTCCTTTTGCATGTGCCTATGTTGTTGTTGTGCTATCTGCCTCCATTGCAGCTGGATATGTTGCCGACGAAATGAATCACAAAAATGTG